AAGTCCGTTACGGAGTCCGATGAGCGCAGGATCTGCCCAGCGTTGGCCAAGACGACAGCATGAACCACCTGTGATCCCACCAGTGAGCACGACCGAGGAGCTGCGGGACTACTGGAAAGCGGCGAACGGGTGGAAGCCCTCGAGCATCGAAGGCCGCACATTCTGCATGAAGTTGTTTCCCGAGAAGGACGCGCCGGTCTACACGCTCACGTCGAGGACGCAGCAGCCGCTCTACCACATGCGCATCGACCCGACTTCGGCATCTGCGTACGTGACGCTCAGCCGGCACGACCCTAGCAAGCCCTGCAAGGACAGGGACCCGACCGAGGCGTCGCGGAACTCTTCCACCGGGCTGCTCAGCGCGCTTCGGGAGGCCGAGGGCAAGCAGCCCTGGCAGGAGGCCATCGCCACGACGCTGGAGGAGCCGGCCCGCCGGCTACCCCCGAACGACGGGCTCGTCGCGCTGCTGTATCCGAGCGCCGCCGCCAAGGTGGCCGTGGAACGGCCACACGACGTAGCCGCCGTCGCCGCGGCCGAGCGCGAGTGCGCCCGCCTCGTCTGGGACGAGGACAGCGCCAACTACTTCCTCGTGCACCCGGCGGTCGCGACGCCGTTCTGCATCACCATCGAGCGCAGCCCCGCCTGGAGCCGCACCGAGTACACGATCGAGCACATCGAGTCGCCGCAGCACCTCGGCCGCCTCACGCGCGACGGCACCGGCGAGGGCTGGATGGAGCTCGACACGCTCGTCTCGGGCCGCGTCGACGGCTACTACGTGCTCGACGTCGCCGCCGCCGCGCTGCTGCTCGTGGCCCGCATCGACGAGAAGAACGTGCTCGTCGAGCAGTTCGCGCCCCCGCCCGTCGCACACCTGCGCGACTCCCCCGACGGTGACGCCGCTGCGGCGGCGGCTGGGTCGCTGGCGGTGTTCCAGCGCAGCGGCAGCCGGCTGAGCGCTAAGATGCTCGGGCAGGGCAAGGACAAGGAGAAGAAGGGGCGCAAGAAGCGCGGCCGACTCGAGGCGTTCGAGCTCGACCTCGAGAGCCAGGCCAGCAGCCTCGGCGGCAAGCTGGACATCAAGGAGTCGGACCGCGAGAAGCTGCCCGGCACCACGCGCACCATCATCAAGCTGCTCGGCTTCGCCTTCAAGTGCATCATCTGGGCGCTCACGCTCGCTTTCAAGGCCGCCATGGCCATCATCGTCGGGCTGACGAAGTGCATCGTGAGGGAGAAGTTTTGAGGGCGCGGCTGTCTGCCATCCGCGTCGACGTATGACTTAATGTTTATATGCGTTTTGGGGCCTGGGAAATAGGGGCGGATTAGAGTCGAATTTTCGGGGCGGGCAATGTACTGTACTACTGGGAACGCATGCGCTTCACTAGAGACAGGAATGACAGGGACGGAGACCTCTTTGCTTATATATTTCAACGCTATACATTCAGCGACCCGTATACCATCCCCCGTGTCGACACGTGGGCGGGCTCTGCTTCTGATACTCGAGTTGGGACATAATGGTACGGCAGAGAATAGCGCGAACTGCGTCTGTTCACGTGGGTGGTGTATATTGAGCAAGTGAACATACATGCAATATGTATATATATCTCTTTTGGGTATTGTATAGTGTTTTGTCAAAGTCGGCGGGAATCCTTGAACGCCGTTCTGCCTGCCTGCCAATCAAATATATATCAATTTTCCCAGCCATAAAATGCAAGAACGCCGTTTATGCTAGACAAGTCTTTCTTTACTCCCCTTCCACCATTACCTACGATTCGTCCAGATAGTGTAACGTCCGTGGAATTGTTTAGATTCATTCACCGCTTCCTCTCCCGCACCTTGAACTTCTTCCCGGACTTCGTAACGCCCCCGATCGTAGCCGTCTTGGCCATTTTAGCGCGCTGTATCTCGAGCTCCTGCTCGGCCTTCGCTAGGGTATTCTGCTTCTTCCGTGCACTTTGTAGACGCCGCGACAGCTTCGCTAGGAGTCTCTGCTTCTGCTCCGCACGGAGTTTCTCTGGATTCTTGCCCTCCAGCTTCTCATCGTCCTCCTCGGGGGAATTCTGCTCCGTATCCTGCCGTATCCTGCCCTCGCGCTCTTCCTGGCCATCTGCAAACACGATCTTCTTGTTCTTTGAGGCGGATTTCCTCTTCACGCTGGGGTCCTCGTTGAAATCGAAATCGAAATCGTCTTCGTCCTCTTCGTCGTCGTCGTTGAGCAGATTGTCGATGTCGCCACCGAGAGAAATGACGCGCTCCTCGAGCTCGCGCACTTCCTTCATGGCGACGTTCCGCACCGACCGTATGTACCCCATGTCCTGCGTCTTGAGGAGTCGGACGACGTTCGTGTCTAGCGCCTTGTTGCCGCGGTCGCCGGCGACCGTGCCGTCCCATTTCTTGGTGCCGGATGATAGGGCTGTCGCGACGCCGCTGCGCGAGAGCATGCCGAAGTAGAATTCCTATTCAAGTAGAAACCCGTTAGACTAGTTCAGGTCGAGCGAGCACACTGGTCTAGAAGATGGAACTGGCATTGACTGGGATTTATAGTCCTGGGCGCACTTACATCTTCATTGCGGTCCTCTGCCTTCTTCCGAAGACTCTTGATCTGTGCCTTCTTTCGGTTGTGATCCTGCGCTCGAAGCCGATAATCCTGGTTTCTGTCGTTAGCGCTGCTGTGTCGGAATGTCGTGGCTGGCAGAGGGTCCAGGGAGGGATGCGCACCTTGTGCTTCTCGAGGAGACCGTAACGGTTTTTGCGGTCATTTAATTGATCTCGCTCGCGGTGTACGCGCCGATTTACGGCATTTCGGAGGGAAGACATAGTGTGGTGTGCTGTCGACTGTAGGCTGTTATAGACGAGAAGCTTTGGAGAGGCGGGATGCCTTGGAGCTTTAGAAATTTAGTTATTGCGATAAGGAGGCGTGATAAGGAAGCTCAAAGATGGCCAGGTATGTGTGGCTTAAGTGCAGGGCCCCAGCCACACAGCTCCAACGATCTTAGCTCATCCCGCCGCTCATACTTTTCATCCTTTTCAATTATTTTTGATGAGATGAGCTCCTTTCATCAATCATCTTACAAGTACTCCAAGAGCTAAGTAGATTTGTATTGGTTCGCCTGGTAATTAGAAGTATGTCTGATTCATATCCTCGGTTTGCATTCTTAGAGGAACAACACACTTAGCATCCTACCTGCTCTTCTTCGACTCGCGATACGAACTCGATAGTCTTGTCCATACCACGAATGACAACGGGCATTCCATATGATCTTAATGATCGTCATACATGTTAATAATGAATGTTATTCACTGGCTGGTGAGTAGCTAAGTGTGTGCCGGATAAATTACCTAACATGTCGAACTCTTTCCTTTCTGACGTTCTCTCGGAGCGGCTCGCACCGGTCGCCTGATGCAAACAAAATTTCAGTCGTTCTAGCTACCGTCAACCTTCATGGTCCAGCACTCTTGCCAATTTGCCTCAAACTTACTATTCAGCTCGTATTTAATGAGGTACATCCTTCTTGTCTTTAGAGATGGCTAAAAAGTCTACTGCCAAGAAGGTGACGCCTAAGAGCCATGTCACTGCATCCGTTGCTGGTGCCATTGTCTGCACCATATTTGCTGTATGGTTCCTTGGCCTGCGGTCGGAACCCGTCCTGAACTCACCCAACTCGCTATCAGAATCATCGCAATTGAACGAATCATCTAGTAATCCACGGTGCGAAGATAAGAGCTACAAAACTGAGCTCATCTCACTCGACCCCCTCGTCATCTATATCCGTGACTTCTTCAACACTAAGGAAATCGATGACATTGTGCAAGCGGGAGAAAACCGCTTCAACCCCTCAGTGGTGAATCAAAATGGGAAAATGATCCAAAACCCGTACAGGACCTCGTGGAGTGCTGCTTTACCAGACGAGGATCCAGCTGTCCAGTGTGTACTTGAGCGATCGAGGAGATTCCTTGGGACTATGCTTGACCCAAATGAAGACGAAATGGGTGTGCCACAGCTTGTTCGGTATACTCAGGGGCAGGAATACAATCTTCACCACGACTGGATGCGTATACCGCAAGCTGCATTCGACGGATCTCCGCGATCTTTCAATCGAGTTGCAAGCTTCTTCGTCATATTACAGGATAACTGTACAGGGGGTGAGACCTGGTTTCCCTTCATTAAAGCTGTGTCGCCTCAGCCAAAAGAACGAGAGGAAGGCCAATTATGGCGCGAGCACGAAGATGGCGGCCTGGCTTTCAAACCAGTTGCTGGAAATGGGATCTTTTGGGTCAATCTATTTCCTAATGGCACGGGTGACACGCGAACTGTGCATGCTGGATTACCGCTCACCAGTGGTTTGAAGACTGCGATGAACATTTGGCCGAGGCAGTATCGCCCTAATTCACAATGAGTTATTCAATTAGTTGAACTAAGTAACACATTTTGGAAGAGCTCTCACCTTGTGCCTATGTAACATATTATGAGTATTGCGATGTGCGATCATGCCCTTTTCAAAGGCTTATAATACTATTCAAGGAAAATCGCAAGCTCATAGATATTGCAGTTTAGTAATGAGCGATCTCAATTTCCATTAAACTCATGGTCTCCTGGGAAACCCTCGTCGATTATCGGAAAACATGAAGAGGCCATCAAGTTATCAGAATACTATTTGCCCTATATAAATAGGACATTCAGAATATCTCGTCGCCCAGGCAAGGAGCCAAGTCCGGAATCCCTTGATGCTTAGGAAATGAAAAAAGGGAGGCGCGTAAACAACAACAAATAAGCCCTAATAAGCAAATCCGAACATTTTTCAGTCCCGACACCTATAAACGTTTCGTAGTAGATAATTTTTTTAGAATAGGACATGAGGTACTGGATCTTACCCGTACTTTAGTAGCCTTCGTTGACAAACTTTCGACGCACAAACTTCCACTATCAGCGGCTCACTAACATTAGCGTGCCAAGAACGACAAAAGGTATCCATCTTCATCTTCAAGAAAAATAATTATTTGATCGACTAGGGCCTGATTTGAACAGACGCTCCCGAAGGAAGTAGATTTCTTTTTAGTTTCCGGATTGAATCAATCATTGGAAATTCGAGTCTACCGCGTTAACCACTCCGCCACCTAGCCTATGTTTCACCATGTTGCATGCTGAGTATGGAAACATTCCGGGCGTATTACCACTAATCTACGCGCCATATTACTTGGGGCTACTATGCTGGCATTGTCTACCTACGTCGATTTCCTGAATGGTTTCAGTATTTACCGTGCACTGTTATACGTACTTTGGAGACAGATTTGCAACCGGAGTAGTTGCATTGGTATAGGTACCTAGTCATAAGATCTTATCTGGTTATAATACCACCTCTCGGTTTAATCTCTATGACTCTGTAGGTATCCGAAAAAAGTTTATATTCAGCCGGAGGTATATGGACATCCCCCGCTGGAAGTTCGCTGCTAACCAAATAACTCATCACTCTATCTCAGAGCTTAAACACGTACTGCTACCTGTCCAACAGCCTGATATATTTTCCATCCTAGACTTTGAAGCCCTATGCCTCTCTCGACCATTGCGCGTCAATCGATCTTCTAACCATGACTGGGCGGAGGGAATACAATAGCCATGAAGTTAAAGTTCGGGTTGTTATATCCACCACCCTCTTTCCAAGTAGCAGCGTGCGGCGCGTAGTAGTCCCAGTTCGACGACGTGTTGAGCCCAAGCTCGGCCCAGACAAATAGACCGTTAGAGAGACCATTGCCGAGCAGGATGTAGTTCGGGAACGGGTCGTACTTGGAGGTCGCGGCATACCCCGTGAACCCGTCTCCCAGATTGGTCGTCTTCGGGATGCGGTTCGTGTTGTACGGCGGCGTCGCCTCCACGGCGTCGCGCAGCGCCTGGTCGAAGAACAGCTGCGAGAGGTGCGCGACGCGCCCGCCGGTGTAGGTGCCGTTGGGCAGCGTGGTGGCGCCGACGTGCGCGATGAGGTGCTGGTGCGTCGCGCGGCCCTGGTAGTGGCCGGGGAAGACGGTGTCGAAGGAGACGACGCCGTCGGCGTCGGTGGGCTGCACGCCGCGCAGGAACGTGGTGCCCAGCCCGCCCTCGCCGGCCGCGCTCACGCCGCTGTAGATGCCCGTCGCGTTGCACGACCACGTGTCGATCAGCAGCTGCGTCGCCGGCTTGCACGTGTTCACGTCGATGAACTGCAGCTCCACGTGCATCGGCACGCCCACCGTCTGCTCCACCACGTCGGAGCGGATGTGCTCCTGCGCGACGAAGTACGGCCCGTTGGCGTTGTCGGGGGTCAGCACGCAGCTGGTGTTGGAGCCGAAGATCTCGGCGTTGGTCGAATTCCTGTTCAGGCTGACTGTGTTCGTCTTATCGTGGCTTAAAGCTGCCCATTGTCGGAGTGAGGCGGCGTCTCTTCGATGAAGCCACGTCGCTAATCATATGAGTTTTTGCCCTGTTCTATCACTCTCGAGCTGGGTCTGTTGGCTTGCTTACCATCATCAAGACTCCTCTCTTTACGCAGCCGTGCGAACGTTGCTGCTCGGCGAGCGATGGCTCGTTCTTTACGTGCCTTGACCTCTGGGTCATTCTGGCATGCTTCTAGGGCCCTAGAGTTTATCATATTGACCACATGGGCATTTGCCACCTCGTCCTTGATCTGTCGCTCACTGAGATGCTCCCCAGGGTGTGCCGAGGCCATGGAAGCCAGCGACAGCACTACGGCCACGCCGGCTGCGAATAACGAGATGAACATCATTCTCAAGATCTCGCTTTCGACAGATGAGAAGAACTGAGATGTCTAGCCCTAGACGCCGGCTTCACTTTTAGGTACCATATTCCCTCGGGGTCCTCGGCCCCTTTAAGCTAAGATCTGACCTCATGGCGGGTTCGACTTGGCAGCCGTTCAGATTCATTTTTATTACTTCCTTTCCTCATGTGGTCGCCAAGAATACACATCAAGGATATATATCGGCAGACTACGGTAGGTGTAGCAGTGGTAGTCGGCAAGGTGCGACGGCAGGAATAACATTTCTTCCTGTCACCCCGTCAGATGACTTGTCGGTTGATCGAGGACTTTCTGGCTCCGAACTCAGCGTCTGAGTTTATCCGGATGGTGCCACATCCTGTTTTATACTAATGCGAGTTTCGCGTACTATATCCAGCTCGCTAGGTGTATCCAATAGTACGGGGTTCCCTTATGAGGCTAAATTTCCCGATGACATTTCCCTTCTGCTGACAGGTCGGCCTTCATGCACCCCAGATATAAACATGCATCCACAGTCACGAAGACCTACTTGCCGAGGCCAATAAGGCACAGCCTTGCTAAGACTGTGGGTATATGCTTTCGAAGATAGGTCTTATTCCTACGTCAGTCCATAATTACCTGACGACTGACGATTGATCGTAAAGAATATCGGTAAATACAAATTGCGTGCTCATTGTGACGTCGCGTCTAAATGCACGAAGCAGATTATAGGAGCTTATAGTTCATACCGAGTGTAGCAAGACATAAACCTGACCTTAAAGTTTGTGAGAATCTTTGCTAACATTGATGAATTTCATAAAAATGCATTTTTATACAATTTTTATAGCTATAGAGATGAAACATCCCGGTAAAGCTCCGGATGCTAGCAGGAGACATGACTTGAGATTATAATTATCAAAACGCCCGAGAAGGGAGATAATCTTGAAGAGTCTACTTAGAGTATCTCAATAATTATATTGAAACCCCTCTCTTTTAGGCTGAGGGCCGCTAAGGTTTAGACTGTTTGATTACATATAGATGTAATAATAGGGGCGACAAAAATGTTACGGGCTACTGCCTATTTGCAGCTTGCTATAATCTTAGTCTATTTTCACTGATTCGTTCACTGATAATGTTATAATAACTTATGTGATATAGAAAAGTAGCTAAGCTTTGTTCTAGACTACCTAGGTAATCCTACCCAAGTCGTGCGCGTGGCTTCGCTCAACAGTCATGTTACCTTATTACTCCCATGATCTCATCAGATGTGTACAGCCCTGAACCATAAGTATCCAAAATTGTGCGAGTCGCAGACGATTCAGCAGATCAAGGCCTCGTAGGCTTGGTAACTTAAGCGCCGTTGCCGTTGTAGGCGACCAAATTAACAGTGCCGCTTGGGACACTACTGATCTTACCCGAGGTAGCTAGTGCCTTTATGCGGGCAGTGACAGCAGCGGGGGTCGAGAGACCCTCAAGAGCGATCAGGTAGAGAGCAAGTCCAGCAACGTGAGGAGTGGACATCGAAGTACCCGAGATGGTGTTAGTGGCGGTGTTGCTACCGATCCAAGATGACAGAACGCTAACACCGGGAGCGGCAACGTCGACAACAGCGCCGTAGTTGGAGAAGTAAGCGAAAGCCCAGCTAGAGTCAATAGCAGCAACAGTGAGAGCGTTGGCTGCAGAGGCTGGGGAGGTGTTGGCAGCGTTGGTAGCGTCGTTACCGGCCGCAATCACGGACAGAATACCCGAGGTGTACGCACTGTTGACAGCATTGTTGAAGGCAGCAGAATAGCCACCGCCTAGGAAACATTAGTAATTAGGTTAGAAATGATGGGGGGTAAATCCTTACCGAGCGACATGCTAATGACAGCCTTGGTCTTGCGGCTCTTGCTGGTGATATCGCTCACAGCCCAGTTGAAGCCGTCGAGAATGATAGTGGTCGTACTAGACGATCCACTGAAAACCTTGACGGAGATGAGAGTGGCGGCCTTGGCGACACCGTAGGTAGAGCCACCGAGAGTACCGGCGACATGAGTACCGTGGCCGTTGGAGTCGACGTTGGCGCCACCGACGGCGTTATAACCGTAAGAGGCTCTGGTACCGAACTGGGTATGAGTGGTCAAGAGGCCAGTGTCGACGATGTAGGCAAAGGTGCCGGTGCCAGCTGAGCTGTCGTAGACATAGCTAGTAGAGCCGCTAGTCTTGTGGGAGATTGTCCCCAGGCCCCAGGTTGCGCCGCTCTGGGTGGTCAGGGCTCTCTCGGCGAGCTCATGGGGCTCGTCAAAGAGGTGCCAGACCTGATCCTGTTCGACCTCGGCGACCTTTGGCAAGAGTTAGTATATGCGAGTTGGGGTTGGGATCGCAGAATATACCTGGGGGCTGGCCTTGATCGTCGCAAGGGTCTCCGCATCCATTTCTACAGCGTAAGCGTTGAAGTCATGGATACTGTAGGTCTTCTCAATGCCAGCAAGGTCGCGGCGGGTTAGGCTACGAGCGTGGACATCACGGGCCCAGTTCAAGTGGCTCTCCAAGTCGGCGGTGCTGATTCCAGTCTTCAAGGTGACGATGTACTTGTTGGGAACGTATTCAGGCTCGCTGACCTTCCTGCTGGCAGGAGCAGCCAAAGCAGCAGGGAGCAGAGCTCCAAAAAAGAGAGCCAAGTTGCGAAAGCTATACATCTTGCAGGGTAGGTTAAATGGAATGGTCTGTAGTCTGTGAAGCGAAAGCTGTGAGGACCAAAGGAAGATCCTAGAGATAGGGTTAAGATGATCCCATTATATAGATTCTCAGACCCCTTAGATATAAAGCCTCAGACCAGACATGATGTTGCACAATATCTGCCAAGTCATTCATCACATAGCCAAGAGTTGGTAAGTTTCCCAACTCAGGTCAAGAAGACTTCTAGAGTGAATAGAACTTGTAACCCTCAAGGTACCAGTCAGAATGGGGAAGGAGTCAGGCGGACGAGTTGGGTAGAGGGTGGTGATGGTAAAGGTTAGGCGATGATATCTTCTCGTCGTATCCTTGGCGGCGTAAAGTGTTAACGTAGCTAGGTGTAATCCGGGCCGCACGGGGGGACTAACAGCGGTTCGTTGCTGTCGTGATACCAGTAAGGATCACAGCATCAGTTATGGCGGCCAGTCGATTCCACCAGGACTCCAACTTGATCACTGAATACGAAGCCGCTGTTCCATGATCCTCCAGATGCCTGACACAACGATCATCGCACAGCTGCTCGGAGGTCTCCGGATCGGCACGCCTTGTGTCTACAGACTCCCACAAGCTGGGAACGTCGAGCCAGCTGATGAAGGAGCCACAAACGGTGCATGACACATGGAATGGCTGCTTCCCAAGGGTGCGGATGGCCATCGTGGGGCG